AATCTAAGTAATTTCTGCCTGAACAGAAAGATACATTTTTTTCAGAAAGCTAACATTTTAGAAATAAAGTCGTGGGATGTGGATCATACCTACATGCTGCTTCAGCATATGGAATTAAGGAAGCTGCTACTATATTTGGTATTAATGATCCAAACTAAAGCCATAAATACTGCACCAGGAAGAGGACAGATGCTTTGTCAAGATGAGGACAGATGTTCTTTGTTAATTTACAGTTTTTCACACTCAGTCTTGTGAGCTAGAAGCTCTACACTGGAAAGATTGTATGAAAAATGGAAGAGGATTGTAAGAAAAATTGAGAAGATGAGGTAGTTTTTAGTATCAAATAAACTATTCTTATTGAAAGTCTGAGTATTTCAGAGTCAAAGTTGAATTTGAGTATCTAGCATTTACCTTTTTTTGCTTCTAGAAAAAAAAAAAAATGTTGCACTTTGAGTCTGGGGTGCTCTTCTGAAAGAGCCCACTTTTCTTTTTGGCTAAAATGTACCTAATGTTCAGGCACCGAAGTCTCGTTATCTTTCCTGGTGGCATTTGCCCAGACATTTGTATCCTCTATGCAAGACTCAAAGCACTTGAAGCTGGCAGCAGCAGCCGCAGGGGAGTCTTCAGTCGGAAGAGTCTCGGCTGGTCGGGTTGTGGGGCCAGAGCTGTGGCTGCAAAGCTGCACCTCCAGGGGCTGGGCAGGGCAGCCGTAGTTGCAGCCTTACCAAATGGCCAAACCCTCAGTTGGTCCTCCCCAGCAGGAACCCAAATCGTGGGCTGCTGGACTGAAATGGAATTAATACTATCAGATAAAATTGCCGTCACATGAAGGAGAGTGTCGGAGGAGCACAGCTGTGTTATTAGACTTGTCTCATCAGAGGAAAAACACGCAAAGTATGGTCCCATGTGGAGCAGGAGATGGAGGACCTAGAGCACTGACCCTGGTCTGGGAGGTTGGCTTTGCTTCTCACCCTGCCATGGGTTAGAGGGGACAGTCTTTGAAGGCTTCCTGTGGACCTGGGCCAGCTGTCTCCCTTCCTAGGTGCTGGCTGTGGCATGCACCTTCTCGTCAGCCTCACTGGGTGTGCTGACCTGGAGCGTGGTGTCCCTGTTCACGTCTGTCACTTGCAGCCTGCCTGTGGGAAAACCCTTCCAAGGTGGCTGGTGATTTTTGGAAATTCTGTGTATTTTCACAGAACCACAGAATGTTAGAGGTTGGAAGGGACCTCGAAAGATCATATAGTCCAAGCCATCTTCTAATCTCTGCTTCTCTAAAGAAATAGTTATTTCAAATTTCACTCTCCGTTTTGGGAGATCTGATTTTTGAAGGAAGATCTGTGATCATTCCTGACAGTAAAACAAGATCTCCCCAGACATTCAGGGAAGCAACATCTATTGAGACAGCACAACAGCAGCTTAAGTTAAATAAACTCAAGAAGTGAAAATATCCTTAAGCAATTCCTTTTAGAGACAGTCACAAAGTGATTAGGAGACCATGTCAGACTGTGATCACTGGGAGGGGGAGATGGGTGGGTGGAGAGCAGGTAATGTGGAGCCTCTGTTTCCTCCCTCCCTCTCTCCCTCTCCCATGGTTAAGCAGCTGCCTGTATCGTGGGGAGCAGGAGCTGTGCAGAGCAGGCCATTCCGTTTCCCCCTTCCTTTGCCCCTCCTGCCCATCAGAGTCGCTTCCCACTGTGTCTAGATGGGGAAATCTTTTATGTATGGCACATGTGGAGCTGTCACAAAAAGGGTATCGTGATAGCAGAATCTTGTTGCGGTGTTACTTTTACGCCTTAATCTTTTGGGAAGAATAAGTTAAGCGCATGTTTGATACAGCAGCAATAGCCAATGCTATTTTTTTGTTCTCCTTTGCCATGTTAATTAGAAAAATGTTATTTGTTAAACTCTCATTTTCACAGAATCTCTGTGTCGGTGGTATTAAGTGCCCAAGTGTATTGGTGTTTATTGTGGTGGAAGTGCAGGCACAGATTGAATTTTTTTCCTTCTTTTTGAGGGCATATGTTTTGGGATCTGAAAATTATGAGTGCTAGAAACCGAGTCCCAATTCTCCCTCCTACTGTTAGTTTTCTGGCCTCAGATACTTAACCTTTTTCCTTTCCTTGGTTCCTTCCTCTTCAGCACAAGTGTATGCAATTTTAAGTACTTCTCCTGGGGATTTCATAATTCATTAAAAAATTTCAGCACTTTGAAGACATAAAATATGTATATAGTAAATGCTAAATATTTTTACAGTAGTGCAAGGAAAAGGTTGGTTTCTGAATTTGAATTCGTTACCTTTCGTAAAATTAATATTCCTTCTGTACAGTATTTCAGTACCTTATTACATTAATGAGTGCAGAACTGAGTAATGAGTTTTGCACTGCTCCCCTTCTCACTGTGCATTCATAGTCACAGGAAATTCTTAGTCTCTGCAGGCTCGCTTGGTTTATTACTGATTTAATAAATCAAGTCACCTGTATTTAAAGATGATTTAGTTTAAGCCTAGATTCGTCAGACCTTTAATTCTGGAGGTAGGTCTATGATGGGGGCAGTTCATCTGAACAGTCTTTGGAGCAGAGATCTGGACGTAAGACTTGTCTCTCACAGATGAGCGCTCCAAACACCTGCTTTTATGCCCTCTTCTTTCTTGAAAGAATTAAAAATAATAAGAAGGGCTTCCCTTCATTTACAGAAAGGGTTGAAGGCAGCCTCTCTTCTGCTGTTTTAGCCTGAAAAAGGAAGGTGAAATACATAGGTGTGAATTCCTTCAGTCAGAGAAGGGCATCAAATTGAGAGCTCCGAACTCCTGGGGGAAGTTTATGTTTGGGAGAAGATGAGCTGGGAAGGGAGGGGCAGGGTGGGTACCATGAGCACGTATAGGAAAGGATTGATCCCCTGCCTGTTTTTTAAAATGGAGCAACTTAAAGCTTGCGTACGCACTTATTGCAGTGTCATGATACCTGTTCCTGAGTTAGCACGAAAGCAGCTGATAGGTGAATTTGGTGTATTTAGGTGTTTACACGCTGCAGCGTGGTAGGGCCGCTGTCGTAGCATTGCTGTGTCAGCCCCACAGAGGGGACAGGCACTGCTCCCCACTGATCTGACTGAGGCATCACCCCACTCCCTGAAGGCAAGTCCTTGGGATGGGCAGGGTTTAAAGATGCACCTTTGTCTCCAGAATGGCGAGATGATGAGAACTAGCTGTATGATATGATAGCATCATTGCCAGCCCATGCCAGCGCTGGGGAAAAATAAAACGTCTGCTAGCATGCGGTACCACGCTGCCTTACCTTACTCCTCTCGGGACCTCAGCAAGTGGTCCTGAAATAGCACCGTGATATCTTTTCTTCATTACCAGATGCTTGAGGATGCTGCACCTGGCATGGAAATACTTCCTTTTTCACTGCTTTCTTAAAAAGCAAAGGCACAGCCTACCGCCATGGATTCCCATTCAGAAATCCCCCCCAGACAAACAAACATAGGCATCACGGTGATGGGTGTGTCCAGAGCATCCAGAAGTCAGTTTGCGTGACATACAGTAAAAAAGGTCACTAATGCCGACAAGTACATTGTCCTAATAATGACACCGCAGAAGTAGGTGGAGCAAAGCCAAAGTTTTTATTAGCTAATGCTATCAAAATATAGAGCCCTGCACATCACAAATAAGGAGCAAATAACTTTGAAAACAAGACAGAAATTAGGCAGATATGGGAAAGTTTTAAGAACCACTGAAGAATTACTGAAGCTGTAGAAAGGGATGTGTGCTCATGCATTTCAGACCATGAAGGAAATAAAGGACAATTAACAACATTAGGCAGCCACCAGCCTGTCTGGCAGTGCTCAGCAGTCAGTCCAGAGGACGCCAGCCTGCCCTGACAGTAACCAGAATTGATAATCTAGTCTGTCACCAGCCAGGCAGCCAGGTTTCAGGCTACGAAAGGTAAGAGCAAGAGCCATGTTTTCCTAAGAGAGTTGCACTTCTTTGGGTTGTTTTGAGCATCAGTGCTAAACTGCTGCTGCTGCTGCTGCTGACAAGAATCATCAATGCACATTCTTGCTCTTGTGAAATTACTGATATATTAATTGCTATCTATTCTGGATGTTGCAGTTGCATTTTTAGTGCGTGTTTATTGCCTTTTGTTGCTGCCTGCCGAAGATACTGTGGGCAGATCCTACATCTGATGCTTTGTTTTAGTTGCCTGGCTACTGTAAAATGTTATCTTAGCTTTTGCTGAGGTGTCACAGATGCTTTCTTGATGAGTGTCCAAACAAGGAAATATGTAAAAGATGCTGGCGAATGCTGTGCTTGCCTACTTCTGTTGCTTTTGCTAGAGGTGCTACAGTATGCTTACTTTGCTTTGCTTTGCTACTACAGACTCTCTGTAAAATAACATGGAAAGTAGACTGAAATCTTTCATTTACACAGCAGGGTCATGATCAGTACCAAAGGTAATACTACCTGTATCTTTTTATGTGAAGGAACTGTTGTTGGAAGGAGATGGTGGGCAACTGCTTCACTTAACTGCAATGGGTTTGTTTATTCTGATAATTGTTACAAAGAAAATGTATTTTTCCCGTTGACTGTATTGCCAGATCCTATAAAAGTCTCCTGCAGAGAGAGGTTCAAATCTCAAAACTTAATAATCATATTGGCTTCAAACTTTTTTCCTGCCAACTAAAAGCGGTTAACATTTCTTTTACTCTGCATTTTCTGTTTATGCCTGCATAACTTTATCTCTTTACATCACCAGTACTTCTGACTAAATTGTTTGCTTGTACTGAGTTTGAAACCTCTTCTAAAGTCTCTGAATAAGCTGTGTTTCCTTCCAGACAGTCCAAAAATATTTTGTCAACAAATAAATAAAAAATTACTTTTAACAGCTGTTTTACTTCCTTCTTTAATGTTATTGCAAGCCTTTTCTTAATTATTCTTGCCTTTTGGCAGTTATGGTGCATTAATATTTACAAGATGAGATGTAGTTTTCTGTTTATATTAGCAGTCTTCTGTCTGTGAGATCTGGACCAACCAGAATGCAGGATATCCTTTCTCATCGATTCATCAGGTTCATAATGTAAGACCCGGTGATAAATGGCTATGTTGTCACTCTATGGATGTGTAGTCTGTCGCCGTGGTGTTATCTACGGGTGTCATGTCGCTGAAATGACCAAAAAAAAATTAAATATATAATTTTGTATCTCGTCCGCCTTCCTCTGGGATTCTGTGTGCACGCATTGGTGTGTCGTGCCGTGTGGTTAGCGTCTGTGGGCTGTGTGCTGTACACACGGGGAGGGAGGGGGGGATTGCCAGCACCAGTCTCACTCAGGGGGAGCTTTGACTTCTGTCCCTGATGTTTCTGTTTTGCTCACTTCTCCAAAGCAAGAAACCGTGTAACCGGCTCGGTTTGCACAGTTTCGCCCTCCCCACAATGTCTTGTGCTGCTCTTTCTGTGTTAATCAGTAGGCTTTTCCTAGCTGAGGAGCACGTCATGCTTGCAGGGGCACTTTGGGGGGATTAGAGGTGCTCTGAATTGCCCCTCGCTTCTGCGGCGGAGGCACCGCTGCTGTGAGAGCAAACCTACTGATCCGTATTGCAGCGTGGTACAGACGGCAGCCGGTCGTTTGGATTTCACTAAGTTTAGTATTTCAGAGCATTTCAGAGCATTTTCAGAGTATTTCAGAGCGGTAGATTTCTCCTAATTTCTGCCATATGACAGCCTCCTTGGAGCATTTCTGCCTGAGAGGGGTCGTTTTGGCTACTGAGCTTTAGAAGCTTTTAAAATGTAGGTATGCCACAAACCAGTTCCCGTGATTTCAAAAGGCAAAGATGTAAGGAGCTAAAAAGAAATTTCTCTTGCTCTTAGAATTATACCATAAGCAAATAGGGAGGATTCGGCTGGTTCGCAGAACATTTGAAATTCTTACAAAGAGAAAATCATTAATTTTTCAACCAGAAGCATTTTGTCTGTGTGTGCTCCAGTTTATTGTTGTCATGGTTACTAATGCATGTTACCATAACTAGGCATGAGGCTTTAACAGGTTAAAAGTTATAAGACGTGGTCGTTGTTAAAAATTACTACATTTGAGCCACTCAAAATGAAGCCTTTTTTTTTTTTTGCCCTGATAGCATGGAGTTTTTTTAACTTGACATTTTTATAAAAAGATGAGGCATGCATTAGATTTTATAGAAGTTGTACTGAGATTACTACTTACCTGTGACTACCCCTGCATCCAGGTGCCTTTAATGTGAGTCAAATAGTTCTTAGAGAATAGGATGAAATAATAGAAAAATGTGCAACAATTGTATAAAAGTACCTAACAGCAATAATCTGCTTCTGCAGCTCATTTGACCAAGCATCTGACCCTTTCTAGAGCACTAAAAAGTGCACATCTTCCCGTTTTCAGGGTTACAAAGCACTGCAAGAGCAGGAGATACTGGTCTTTAAGGCTATGACGTTTATGGTTAAAAGTTGTCATTGTAAAAGGATCGAATCTTTGCCATGCTGGCACCTGTCTTGAGACCATTTTGTGACTGTAGATTCTTCATCTCAAAAAGTGGAGCAAAAAATTCTGCTTTCTCAAGGTGACTGAGGCCAGAGAGAGGAAAGGCACTGGTTAAAGGAAACGCACTGGTTAAATGAATGGGAAGGTTGGAATACTAAAACACAGGCAGTACAGCAAGACCCATGTGATAAATTGCACAGCTGTCTGATGAGCTGTAAAGTTAGATGAGGAATAAATTATCTCTGGCCTTTCTACCTCATCAGAGAGATAAAAAGCACCGTACATATATTCTGTCATAAAATATACATAAGCTTAAATGTTTGATTATTTCTTATAATTGCAAATTAAATATTCAAACCAGAAAATCTTTATCCTATCATATCTATTCTTTAAAATTAAATTAAACATCATAGTTGGCCCTGCACGTCAATTTACGAACATTTCTGTACCGCTTGAAAGTGGTTGAGGTGCTTATGAAGGTCCCGAATCTCAATACATCACCCATAAGTTGTTCCACACCATTCCTTAGATTTAGTACTGCTAGTAATACATGCTTTTCTATACCCCAGACTTGAGACTTGTAATTTCATGTCTTCTCTAGGTCAAAGATGTTCCTACTTTGTATTTTGCCTGAATTGCCATCATCACATCCTAAATATCAGAATTTCAGCATCTACCTAGAGTCAGTCAGCTGAGGAACTCTATTTTCTCCTGTAGAGGTTTTTAGGCCCAGAGTTATGAAAGTATTTAGCTCTCTAAATCTTGTTTAAAAGCCTGTCTTCCCTTAAAAAAAAAAAAAAAAGAAAAATAAAGAAAAATAAATTGCATGGGGAATATGTAATAAGAATTACACTTCTAAACATCTTCATGGATCTGGGCTTTGGAGACTACCCTGTTATAACTCAGTCTAAATAGGTAATGAATGCTAACAATAGTATGATTTAAAAATCTAAGGAGTTTGGTTAGAAACAAAGGAAAAGAGACCAGAAGCCAGTTCTGCTGGTGAATATTAAAAACCACTTATGATACAGTTGCAAAAGAAAATTTTATGATTATGTATAACGTGTCTTCTTCATCCATCACAATAATCTATACCTATAAGGTTTAATTTTATGCAGCTTTTCTTAGTAGCTTCTCCCTCTGCAAGACACATGAAAGACATGAAAGGTCTTCAGGTGTAGTGGTCTGTCGGGAACAGCAGAAATCCTGTATCTCTGCATTCCCTTAACCTCAGCTCTGTTGTGTGCTTAGATCACCCTCGAGACAGGTAGAGCAATCTTATCATTTCTGTTTCTTCTAATTTGAAAGGAATAGGTACTAGGATGATTACATATATTTATAAGCAATTAATGGTTATCTATGAATGGTCTCCACGCAGTCCCCCTCTGTGTCTCATATTCTAGTTTTACTAGTCTGGTTGAAGATTATTTCTCATTTCTTCATGATTCTTGCCTCCTAGCTCCTTTATAAAGTTGAACCAATATGAGAAGTAATCACTGTTCCTCTTGTTACTGCCCTTCATTTACAGACAGAAACAACATGATTCTCCATGGTTTTAATATCTTTAATGTAAAAGGGAGTCAAACTGCTTAATGATGTACTCATTTCATTCCTTATTTTGTCAGTACTGTGAATTTTCTGCATGTGAGTTGCAGACCAGCACAACAAAAGGGTTTGTAGCGCTACCCAGGGTCGCTTATGTCTTAAAAATTCTGGTCCTACCTCACAACCATCCCCGTGCTTCCTCAGTGAAAAACTAGTGGTCAAAAGACATACTTTTATGGCTTCTCTGTCCTGAATTTACTCCTGTTCCATTGTAGTAACCTTTTGCTAAATGGATAGGATGTATCTCCTGAGATCTGCTTCTTTACACAGAACATGCAGGAGTGAATCTTTATTAGGCAAAAAAAAAGGATTATTTCAAATGGTCTGTTAGCTGTGGCCTTGAACAGTTCATAAGAGACGGTCAAGCACACGGTGAGAATTTGTGATGGGTGAAATTCATCTTCTCTTGTAGTCAAATACGAACTCCACTGATAAGGATGCAGATCCTTACCCTTTGTAATATGATTGAAACCTTATTTTGTAAGGAGAACTACTTCTTAAAGAAATCAAATATCCCCTTCAAATTAAATATGATATAAGGTTTTTAAAAATCAGTGGTCAGAAGGATTCCTTTCTGTAGACATAAAATGCCAAAAATTGGAGTAATTACTCCTGCTGCTCTCCTGTCATAATTTGAGGTTGAAGCCATATCCATAGCATTTAGGCAACTTAACTAGGCAAAACCAAAATTACAATACTGTATAATTCATAGAAGTGCTAATAGTGCCAAGATTAACTAGGTTTGGCTTGTTTTATGATGTTCACTCGCTTGAAGTTACCATATCGGCAGGGTAATGTTGATGTTTCCAGATTTATCTCTTGCTTTTCATTGCAGAGTTGTGCAAATGTGTGCCATTTCATTATTTTGTGACACATGAAAATGATGTACTTGTTTTGTTTACTCTGTCCTGATTTAATTAGTAGGATGTGATAGTTTGCCAGACTTTTGAATGTCTTCGATAAGAATTTTTTCATGTGTTTTTGATGCTTAACTTCTTTTTGCTTTAAAAGTCTTAACTTCTAGCCATATTCTGTGTGAAATGCTGATGACAATTCCTTGCTAGCTTCAACACATATTTTAGCAATATGGCATGCGTAGAAAATACAGAAACAAGTGCAGGTAAAGAAAGAAGTAGCGTAATCCAAGTGGAAATAATCACACAGGAGAGGGCTTGAGAGAGAACAAGCGGGGAAGGAAGGAGGATTGGGAGGGAGAATTCTAATTCCCAAAAGACAGAGTGGACAGGAGAGGGGATGACCAGACCAGACAAGGATGGGTAGGGGAGAAGTGGGACTGGTGACAGGGAGAAGAGGAGAAGGACTCCATCCACAGATCATTTTCAGTTAAAGTGAGCTAACACTGGTTTGGCAGCATCGTGAGGTCATGGGCAGCACTGGCATATGTGAACTAAAATAGGAGAGATCGGAGTTAAAAAAAAAGTAAACTCATAGTAATGTTGGAAACGGAGGAGGGCCTGCAGGGTGGAAGGAGCCCCCAAGGGCCCAGAGGTCAGTCCAAGTCCAATAAAGCCATGCCCGAAAATATGGAATGGCAGGTGAGACCCAGACCAGCACTACCATGCTGGTGGCCTTCCTGATCCAATGCCTGTGCTGGCTCTTCTTAGAAGGGAGAAGAGTGTCCTGAGAAGGGATTTGGCAGCACCTGCAGTCCTACCCATGTTCTCTGAGGGCTTTGAGGAGAGAGGGGAGATGGCAGCTCAGGAAGGAAAACACCTATATCAGTGAGAATGATGAATGTGGAAGGGCAACATTAATAGCTCTACAGTGGGACATCAAGAGAAGGTGATCAAAGTAAATATTCATAAAGAGATTAAAGAATGCCTCACATGTTTGAAGAATCTGTAATAAGTCCTGAGATCAAAGCAAAGTCTCAGTTATTTAGCCATTTAGCAAAGTTAGTTATTGGTTATATGTGCTAGATAATGGAAGACTCATGTGTAGAAAAGCTTGTAAAACACATAGCAGAATTTATGAATGGCATTCTTGTGCATCTCATGATTTTTATTCAAGTGCTCTTATCCTCATACATGTATTGTAAATAGTTATTTTTGAGGAACATTTCCAGTGCCTAATGATGGTATTCTCAAAGCAAACAGATTTAATTAAAGCCTCATTAAACACTACAGTAGATGACTTTGAATTATAAATTAAATCATGAAAAATGTTGTAGGAATTATATTCCCTTATTTTAGTAACATGGCTCTATGGGTAGAACACAAATTATTGTTAATTGAGCACAACAGCAGAGGGCTACTTTGTAGTGAATATGCCTGCAACTTCTCTTATATCTTGAACAACTGTGATTTTCAGACAGGAGACTGGGGAGAGCCTTCAATTACCTTGCGACCTCCAAATGAAGCCACAGCATCAACACCTGTACAATATTGGCAACATCATCCAGAGAAACTCATCTTCCAGTCATGTGATTACAAAGCATTTGTAAGTGTTGACAGATCTGGTGGTTTGATTTGGGGTAGATATATTAATCTTAGGTTTTGAGAGACTTTTTTTTCATTTATAATATTTTTTTCAGTCACTTTTAATGAGACAGGACACTTCTGAAATGCTGTAATTGTAACAAATGAGAAACAAGGATGCACAGTACTTTTTGCTATGAATTTTGTGATACATTGCAGCCCATGTAGCAATAATGTTAGGGAAATGACACCATGAATAAGTGTCAAAGTGTTACAGAAGTGACAGTCAGAGCAAACACTCCTAATTCTCATCTCTCACAAATCCCTGCCTAGTACTTGTGGAAAAATAATAAAACATAATATGGGATCCTCACACCTACTTTAATGCTGTGTGCACAGTCAAAAAGTCTTGCCTTGCCTGAGTTTCATACACCTGGTTTTGGGGAAGGGATCTAGGGAAGAGGGAGATCAGGGTCCTGCAGCAGTGTTTTGTGTCCCTGGGACAAGGGCACATTCAGACCTCTCCCAAACTGATGGCTACCTGAAGTACCAGTAGCGGTGGGTTCCTTCAGGGCAGGATGTACTTATTTTAACCTCTTGATTCCCACTTCCCAAGCCTCGAGAAACAGAGCTTCCCCCTGCAGTTAAAGGCGAATGGTGTTCTCTGGCTCTTACAAATGCTTGTCAAGAAGAGGAAGATCTCCTGATGTACAGAAAGTTGTATTGGAAGACTTCTTTTTAAAATAAATAACACTTTTCTGAAGCCTTGAGCTCCCTGTCAGTGGCAGAGGGGAATAGCTGGTGCGTCTGGGGACCTGAAGAGGTGCCTCAGTCCAGTTAAAGTTGCTGAAGGTGCTTCCCAGACCACTGTCTCCTCTTCAGAAGTGGCCACCTAATGGAGCAAGGCTGATTTACTTTACAGAGGAAAGGGCCTCAGTAGCTGTAGTGTCTTCAACATAACAATTGGGGATTAAACACTTGTCCAGGACATGGGGTTTAGATCCCCCTCACCTGAAGGGGCTTGGCTCCTTAGTGCTTTCTAGGATTGTACTTGTTCACCAAACACTGGAGGATCTGGGGAGAGAGTTGGGGGCTGCTGGACCTCATTTAAAGCATATCCAGCAAGGCAGGAATTAGAGACTAAGTGCAGGTGAGACAGGGCCTGGCTCCCACTGAGGAGATGCAGAGAGGATGGTACGTGCCTGTCTTGCTGAAGCCTGCCTGTATCTTCCATGAGAACTTCCTGAGGCAGAATATGCAGTGATTGTCCCTGGACAGTAACTAGAACCTCTGCTTTCCTCAGCAAGTCACAGTCAAGGTCCAGCTCAGCTGCTCTCAGTCTTGCTCTCCTCCTGTGTGGCACCTCAAATTGAAAAAGAATCTTAGTGACTTCTAGTTCTTTAAACATTTTTCATAGTTTTCAGTAAAGTGAACAGGTTTATCTCAAGAATGTCTCTTGCCTCATTACTTGATCCAGCAGTAAATTCATAACCAGATGTAACCTTCATAGTAGATTGTAATGCTTGTGAATCATTAATCAAGTTGGGATAACCAGGAATATCCAAGTTACTGGTGATTAAGAAATTGCCAAATCAAAATATCAGTTACTGTTGATGAATGAAGCCTCTTCCTTTCTGAAGGGCCGTGCATCACTGCACTGTCTCAGCTCCCATTGAAATCCTGGCTTGGAAGTTTCATTCTGGGCTGCATCACTCAGCTAAACTGTTGGATGTCCTCTGCGTTGCTCCCATATGCTCTGGGTATTTGAGAAGGAACTTTTCCAAAAATACAGCAAGGCAAAGGAAAGCAAAATTCCCTCCTAGAATTTCAGATTTTTCTGACAAGTAAATTGGACAGTACCTCTGTGATTTGTTTGTCTAATCCACAGTTCACCGTGGGAAGCATTTCTGTATGTCTGCAGCTGAGGCTTTTTGCTGCCTCTCTCTTCTCTTTCTTCCTCTTGTTCTGCCGTGAGCTCAAAAGCACTACTTTTTTTCCCTGATGTCTGACCAGCTTTCAAGGAAATACAAATTTATTTTCCTGTAGTCTACAAAAAAATAACAAAAAAAATTTGAAGACGTTAATTGCATCTTTCCCGGAGAAGGCTAAGGATGCCAAAGGTGTCAGACAGCAGGATCCAGAGAAAGATACAATTCAACTCAATACGCTTTTGTTTAATTTTCTAATTTCAAAACTTGCTTTAAATTCATTGTTCTTCTGCAAGGGCGATACCAAGCCGTCCCATCAAATTAATGCCCAAAGCCCTGTTCATGTCACCACTGAGCCCCCACCTGAACTCGCAGCTGCCTGGTTTATGAATCTTTCACATCTGC